ACATATATATTATATATTATATATTATATATTATATATTATATATTATATATTATATATTATACATTATATATAACTAAATAAATAAATAAATAAATACATAACATGTATGTTAAATCGGATCCTAGATCAAATAAAGGGGATCCAAATCCGATTCAACCCAAAAATCCAAAACAAAGATATTCTAATCCAATAATATACAATCGAATCGAATAATAATCTGATCCATTTACATCCCTAATTTCCAATAGACTATTGTAATGTGTTATAGTGTGCCTGTGGGGCGCCCACGCAAATTCTGGATCTGCTACCCACAGGACACGCATGCAGAATATGTCCCAATGAGTACGAAACATGTCCCCTCTTCTTTTCCTGCATTCAAATTTCAAAGTGAAACTCAAATTTTAAGCCTTTTCCCATCCCACCAGCATGGAAACAGAGAGTGTCAAAATATTGAAGGGAGCATTTAGATATCAACAATAAGGGCCCCTCCCTTCCCTTTGCTTATAAAAGTCTGAGACCACAAAAGTTTCATAAAAAGCAAAGCATTGTCACAACTCACCAGTAAAAAGGACAATAAAAAGGGGAAAGTAGATAACCTTAAGTCAACTTTATTGGGTGTTGAATCGAAAGTATCTTGAAAAACAAAAAAAAAAAGAATTGAAAGTATGTTGCAAATAGAAATTTGTAGCCCTACACCCAACTCTTGACACTTGTGACATCAAGATTTCATCTCAAATCTCCTCTACAACCAGAATTCAGATTTGCTCCTCACACCAACCCAACAATACATTGCAGCCTTATATCAAAAAAAATTATCATTCAAGGGCAGATATTATAATATATAATTTTAATAAAATTTATTAAACAAACAAGTTTAAGAATAAAATAATATTTTTGATTCATACCGGTCATTATATTGACCCATATTAGTTTGTATCAGTTTCATACGAAAGGAAATGTTAGAATGGACCTGAGATATTTGGATTACGAATGATCATGGGTTGGGCCAGGCTCGAGCTAGGCTACAGGGATACCATATTTTATATGGAGAAGTACGGACAGGCTCAATACAATTTTCTGATTTCCATTGCAAAGCTATAAATATTCAAAATAACAATAACCCATATTCTATGCATCAACATCCGTCCGTAAAGATGAATTAACATCAATTCCGAACTGACACCTACCCCAACAATATTTTGTACCTATAAATTTTGACCCTGAGCTGAACGGTCGTTTTCCCTATACATATATGATGTTACATAATTGTTTGATCCTCACTAATTGTTTGATCTCTCCTTAACCAAATACAGGCCCTTTTCTCTGATTTTGCTTTTGAAAAGATTATTATATGATGTTACATAACCTGTTTTTTCAAGGAAACTTAATCCTCTTCTTGGGAAATCTCTTACTCCTAATCTATCACTTATATTTGAAACATCTAATATTCAAGGATAACTTTAGGCTCATCAAGATTGGATAAGATACTCGCAACGTCTTTTCTCAAAATTATGCATCCAACTCATTGGTATAAGTTCTCTAAAAATATTTCCCATCAATTATCTCTAAGATCTTGGATTTCTATCTTTTCATTTCACATACATTCTATTTAATGGATAGGAATGGTTCGGGGGATCAAATTAGAAACCCCTTAATGGATCAAATTCGAATTCAAATTTGGACAATGGAGTACCGTTTACATCCCTAGTAATAACCAAAAGTTAGAGGAATAGCAACAAATAGAGGTCAACCTAAAATCGGTCCATTGACACCCCTAGTTACTATAGGGTCTTCTAGAAAGTAAACAAAGCATGTGAATTGTGATCTCTTGTATTTATATTAATAATTGACTTCCAGACCCGAGGGTTAAACTACAACTTGTTGGTATCAACGTCTAAGGCGGTGTTTGGCATCAATGCCATTTTTCAAAAAATGGCACGATATAGGTGCCACATTAGAAAAAGTGGTGCTTCAGAAAACGGCCTCTTATTTGGTACTGTTTTTCCATAAAAAATGTTGCTTCAGAGTACGTCTTGAAAATCGGGAAAGTGTGGTTTAAAGCAACACCAAATTCAATATTTTCTCAAAAAACAGCTCATCGTTGACAGCGATGCAATGATGTGGCATCATCTTGGACATTGGATAATATGACCAATGCTGAACACGGTTCTACAGCACTGGTGCCAAACAAAATCAACGTTGCACCGCTTCCAAACAAAAAATAGTACTTACAAGTTACAACCTAGACATGCCTAGCATCATTTTTATGAGAAAACAATATTGTGACACAAATTTCATGCTAAATTTGGAGCACAAAAAAAATGTGGACAAATTCAAAGGAATTTAATTAACATTTTTTTGTAGAAATGTAAGTGGGATATAAATTCTTTTTCTTTTTTTTTTTTTTTGCAAAGAAAATCCTTTGATTCTCTTGTCACGAACACAACCCAAACTTGTATCTGTAGCTTGTTACGGACACGACCCGAAAACTTGGCAACTTGTAATTGTAGAAAGCATGGTTTTTAAAACTGACCCAGTGACCGAACCGGTCAGGGGTCCGGTTATCAGGTTGAACGGTCCGACCGTTCGAACCGAACGCTCGGCCCATTTTGACAAGAAAATAAAAAAATATATTCAAAAGAAAACGGTCAAAACCGTTTGAACGGTTCAAACGGTTAACCACTCGGTTCAACAGTTCATTGACCAAAATCAACGATTTTAGGGGAAAATCCAGTTTTGAGGGAAAACATAACCGATCATCTTACCGGTTCCTAATTTTTCTGGTCCGATTTTGAAAACCATGGTAGAAAGAACTTGCAGTGATCAATTGTATGTGAGCAAAGTTTTTGCTCACAATCAATTGTTGCTTTGAGCGTGAACAGCAACACCAATCTTTAACTGTAGGAGATCCTTTGGTTGTGGTGATTTGAGAAAGTTTTCTTGTATCAGAGTTAAAAGTTGGAATGGGAGATGAAGCCCTCTTCTTCTTCTTCTTCTTTTTGAAAAAAATGTTTCTAATGAGGAAATGAAAGAAAAGCCGAATTGGGAAGCCAAATGGGAGCTCAAAAGGGTGGGTGGGGGGGTGATTTGAAAGGCCCCACGATATTGATTTGAAAGGAATTATAATTTGTATTATTTTGGAAAGTTAGTTGGTTTGAGATCCCCAATTAATAGATCGGTGATCAATCTTTGATCCCCATTTAAATGTAATTGAATGCATAGGATGTCTCCCAACATGCCACTTGGCAAAGGGGCTGGGCCCATGCATCATTTTGTGCATTGACCAACCATGACTTCCTTAATCGGTTGACCAATTATGCCTTAGTTGTCTTTTAAATGGGATTGCCTATATCCTAATTTAAAATTCAGCCCATCTATCAACTGGTGACAGATTTGGATTCAAAATGAAATTCCTTTTTCTTTGTCAATGTTTTCTTGGGCTAATTGAGCTAATACTTTGGGTCCTACCAAGAAACCTTTCAACTTTAGTGGGCCCAACATGCCCTCATTTGATTTCAATAGTTGTTGGGCTGAGGCGTCAACCAATTCAATCCTTGCCGCTCTCTCCTCTTAGTGGGCCCAATAGGTCCTTTTCATTCAATCTCATATTGGGCCCTATTTACTTCACTTCTTGGGTTCAAAATTTACATTATCAACAGGTGCCATGTTCCCACTTCCCAGCACCGATGCCAAAAATGAAGCACCTACTAACTAATGGCAAACAACTCTACTCGTCTTCCTGCATCTGAAACCTGACATGGCGTCCTTAGCCCTGGCCAGGGCTGCAAGCCTGTTAACAGGCCAAGCTGCAGGTTCAGAATGGGGCTCATAGTTTAGTTCAAAAATTCGAGCCAATAACCAATTGACTATCTATGTTGTTTATAATAAATGCGTCAGCTTGGCTTGCTGTTTGACAAAGTAAGCTACTAAGCTTATAATAAAGTTTCTGAAAGCATTTGCAAGTTCAGATGAGGTGGCAATCCATCATAAGACCTTTGCCACATGGCAAAACTGGCTATTTTCTTCACCCTAAAATATTTGTAAAGGTTTAGGAAAAAAACAAAGATTGTTTTTACAGGGGATTGATCTTATGTGGACAAGAAGCTATACGTGTAACCAATACAAACTGACCCCTGATCAGTGTAAGGCATCCACATGGCAGCATTAAAACAATTATATAAAAAAATATTGCATCCTATAACCTATATTATGGGTAGGAAAAAATATTTTATCACCAACAGGATATGGAATGGAACTATTATAGTCCAATGTGTTTAATTGTGGCAATTTTTCGTTAGGCCTGGTCAGAGTTTAAGTTTAAAAGGAGGAAAAAGAATCCATGAAATTGCAAATTGCCTGTGTTCTGAGCAACAATAGTCACAACAAATGATTACCAAAGAAAAACAATAGTCACAACAAACTACCCAATTGAGATATAATGAAAAGGCAAAAACATCCAGTAAATTATTCCTAATTTGAGAATAGATATGGCACTGAACAGAATGAAATGGCGGAACAGGGTTCATGTAGCCAACCCCATACAGTTGGCCGGTTGGGACAAGGCTTAGATGGTGATGATTATGATAGAAGAATCAAATCAAAGGGTAAAAAATGGAAATATATGTAGATCCTGGTCCTGGTATCTAAGCCAATGCAAATATGCACTGGGGCCTGTGCTCTCTAGCTCAGCTATCAGAATGCCTGTTTTAAAGAGATCGGATCTGCTCCTCAGAGCGCGCCTCACACCCACCTCACAGCACATTTCAGCCGTGCATCTAGAACATCTTCCCATGAATTAAAAATTTACAAGTACGAGATATTCCAGGTGCACGGCTAATACGTGCTGTGAGGTCAGTGTGAGGCGCACCTTGTGAGGAAAAGATCCGAACTCGTTTTAAATTGTTTAGATGCCAAGGACCACGCCAGAAGAGATTATCCTAGGGATAGGCCTAGCTTCATTCCAAAAAATTTGGGAAAATGCAGAAAATCTGGAGCATGTAACAAATAACAACTCAGCTATAAAGGTAAAAATCCCTGGGCATTTTCATCTAGTGCAACTTAGGAAGAAAGTATGACACTAACATAAAAATGAAAGCAAAAGGTCCTAGGATACATTTAATGTACAAACAAGAACTACAGCGTTCTTCCTAAAATTACAATCCTCGCTTGCAGAAAAGATCGGTCAATGCCAAAAAAGTTCCTTGTCACTAGGCGGATATGGATTATTGCTTACAAATTTAGATATTTTGACTGTTTTTAGTAAACATATGGTAGTATCCTCCACGGAACAAGTTTGCAGTATTCTGCCCAAACGTCTTTGTACTTCTGGGCACATCGGGCTTCATCTCTTCTCTCTCTCCATATCAGCAGAATAAGAAGGTATATAGGGTAAAAATATGGAATTGGAGAGCTGCAAAGATGAATGAGACCAAAGGTAATGAATACCTTAACATGTAGTAAATGAAGTAACGAACTGAAATTACCAAGTAGTCAAATTACCTGGCTCCACAAGGTAAACTAAAGGATAGTGCCAATAGCAAGTCCCCCAAGTAATTACAGTGTCTGGCTATTCCCCTGAAACAAAGGACAAGAATTTGAAAAACTTGGATGAAACATGGAGTACAAAGTATGTGAGATGGTGTAAACTGGAGCAACTTCTGATACTAGTGTCTACTGATAATTGGTACTAGGTAAACCATCCTAGAATATGTACTTGTTTTTTTTTTTATCAATACTAGAATATGTAATTGTTGGAAAATGAGAACCAACTCTCAGACTTGTAAACAACAAATTACTGCTGACCAAGGACAATATTAGGACATATTAAAAGGGTTTCTAGATTTTTTTTTAATCAATAACAATGAACTTTTATTTAATAAAGATTGAGATAATCAGAATTACAAAGGAGGGAGCTAAACAATCTTAACTCCCAACTACCCAAGGTACATCCTGACCATGAGGCAATTACAAAACAGCCCAGAACATAGTATTTCTGTTTACCCCTTGTCTAGCTAGACCATCTGCCAATGCATTTGCACTTCTCTTTATCCATGTACAATGCATTTCCATGTCCTTGGTGAGCCACTTGAACTTCCTCTTTTCATTGCTGTATTTCCAAAGCATAGAACTGTCATCTGTTAGCCAATTCACCACAATTTCAGAATCACCTTCTATAACCAACTTTTTAATATTCATAATATTCAATTCCTTGGCCCTTTGTATCCCCTTCAAGAGCTCCTAGGATCTCGGCCCTCAAAGAATCTCCTACCCCAATCGGACCAGAGTACATGGCCAACAAATTTCCTGTTTCATCCTTTATTACTCCCCCTATTCCGGAAGGCCCTGGATTGCCTATGCTGCTACCATCGAAATTCAGTTTGGTAAACCCATGAGGTGGAGGTGTCCAGCAAAAGTTTAAGTTCTTCCTACTTGAGCCTGATTCTGCAATCTCCTTCCAGCTCCTTATCATCTCATCAACTGAGAACACTTTAAACAATTCCAATGTTCTCAACCAATGTATCATCCTAATGTGGATAGTCTCTAGGATTTCATCCATACTTCTCTCCTTATCTGAGAATATCCTTGAGTTTCTCTCCTCCCAAACTGTCCAACATATCGCAGCCCTACCACATCTCCACATGATCTTGGCCCTTTTGGTTGGCCAGTTGGGCATGGAAGTAAATAAGCTTTGCACATTCAAAGGAAGAGTCCACCTGCACCCAAACAAAGAAGTAAACCATTCCCAAATAACTTTAATAAACTGACAGGAAATTAGTAAATGGTATTCAAACTCACCATCGGATTTACAAACAACACACCAGTAAGGAGACAAACAATTGTTGGGTCTTTTTCTTTGGAGTAGATCCCTGTACTAACTCTTTCCAAAAAGGCTTCCCAACAGAAAATCCCAACCTTTGGAGGTATAGGTCGACACCATACATTTTTAACAGGGAAAGACGATCCAACCGGAGGAAAGGGTAACAGTGCTTTAAAGAAAGAGGCACAAGTGTAGGAACCCGAGGGAGTGAGTGTCCATATTCTGCTATCTGGCTTTGATGGCTCAATGAAGACCCCTTCAAGAATGGAAAGTAAGGCTAAAGTACAGGCTAACTCTGTGTCCCTGACATCTCTTCTCAAACTCAAATTCCATCCAAACCCAAAAGGTGAATTAGAAGGAACAAGAAAAGAGGAGACTGGTTCATTTATAAGAGTAGAGATAGCAAAAAGGCTTGGAAATTGATATTTCAATGAGGAATCCCCAACCCAGACATGTTCCCAAAACTTGATGAGGTTACCTAAGTGCAAATCATACCTGATCCATGGAGAGAACAAGGGCAAGATGGCTTGAATAGCTTACCAAGGAGAAGCTCTTGTGGTCCTAGCTAGAATCCCAGTATCCCATCCACTGTCTGCCAGCCCATGTATACTATACTTCCCACTATCTTAACCCACAATCTTTCTTTCTCCAATGAGAATCTCCACAGCCATTTCCCTAGTAATGCTAGATTCCTAGTTCTAATGTTCCCAATCCCCAAACCTCCCTCCTTTTTACCCCTACATACCATCTCCCACCTAACCCTACGATCCTTCTTCTCCTCTCCCAGCTCCCAAAGAAAATCTCTCATTAGTTTTTCCAGTCTACTAGCCACCTTAGCCGGAATCTTAAAGACTGACAAAAAATAAACAGGGAGGTTAGCTAGAGAAGACCTTATTAAGGTGATTCTCCCTCCAAGACACAAATAATTTTTCTTCCAGTTGGCAAGTCTCTTTTCAAACCTCTCCACAACAGGGGCCCAAAATCACCTTTCTGAAGATTATCCCCCAAGGGTAAACCAAGGTAATTTAAGGGCCAATTAGAAACTATACATCCCAACATGTCTGCATACTCACCAATCTCCCCTTCCCCCAGATTGACTCCAACTATACAACTTTTGTCAAAGTTCACCCTAAGGTTTGACATCTACTCAAAAAGTTGTATAGTGAGCTTCAAGTTTCTAATCCAATTGATATCCCCTCCTTCACAAAACAGAATTGTATCGTCTGCAAATTGTAGGTGTGTAAGCGATATACTATCTCTTCCAACTCTCCATCCTCTTATTAACCCCCTGGAATCTGCTTTGGATATTAGTCCCCCCAACACTTCTACTACCAATGTAAACAAAAAAGGGGATAAAGGGTCTCCTTGTCTAATCCCCCTCAAAGCTGGGAAATAGTCCACCACTGTCCCATTCACCAGAATGGAATACTGACAATCCTTAATGCAACCCATCACCCATTTGCACCAAATATCTCCAAACCCAAAGTTAATCATCACTTCCAATAGGAATGACCAATCAACCAAGTCATACGCCTTTTCCAGATCTAATTTACAGACCACACCTCTTCTCCTGAATCTCTTATAGTCCTCTAAACTCTCATTTGCTACAAATAGTTGATCTGTTACTTGCCTCCCCTTCACAAAAGCTCCTTGATTGCTAGCTATGATAGTTGGAAGCACCTTTCTGATTCTAAGGGACAGCACCTTAGTGATGATCTTATAAAGGCTATTTACTAGACTGATCGGCCTGTAATCCTTTGGATGATTTGCATCACTTTTCTTGGGAACCAAAGCAATGAAGGTGGAATTTAACCCAGGGTTGATTACTCCTCTAGATTAAAAGGGTTTCTAGATTGGATGGTTGAGATTATGCAATCATCATGACATTTGGCATAATAGGATTAAAGCATTCACTAAACCCCATAAAAAAGTGGGTCCATAGACGGCCATAGATCTGATTAAGGAAATGTTGGGGACTTTAAGTCCATTGTCAAATAATTGAAGGGACACTTGCTTTTGCTGTTGGAGCATTTGGTTGGAAGGAAGCAGAATATTAGAGGAAAATAAGCTAATGTGCTTTCTTTTTCTTTCCCCATTCTCTTTTCCTGGCATTATTCTGCCTCCATTGAACAGTTTTTGGTTTTATATTATGATTCTGTCTGCAGGCAAGCCTCTATAGAGTATAGATGTTTCCTTTGTTTCACCTCTAATGGATGCTTCTATGAATTTTGTATTTGGGATGCTTGCTGCAACCCCTTCCAGTGAAGGCTTTATGAAACAAAACTTTGATGGGAGCAGTCAGGGACTCAGGGCAACCCGGGCCTTTCTAGAATTGGAGGGACCATAAGAGACAAGGATGGGAATCTGAGAGCACTCTACTCAAGACTGATGGGGAACGGAGACTCCTTAAGGGATGAACTGTATGCAGTCCTACAAGGTATACAGATTGCAAGAGAGATAGGTCTGGAGAATTTGGTGATAGAAGGGGAGTCCAAGGTAGTGGTGGGTTGGCTTAGAGATCCAGACTCAATGATATGGTGTTATAGAAATGAAATGAAGAAATTCAAATGGGTAACACAACATATGAATTTGACTATATAATGGGTGGGAAGGGAGGACAATGCATTTGCTGACTATCTAGCCAAGCAAGGAGTAACTAGGGATCCGTTCTATTGGGCCCATTTGTAATTTTTGTGCTGTTTCTTTTAAAGAGTGAGGCTCGCACCTCCCCTTGGGATGCTTGTAACAGATATTTATCTTTTTGATGATAATGATTTCTTAATGAACTTTTACCTATCAAAAAAAACAAGAAAGAGAAAAGAAAGCATAGCATGCAACTTGGGTCAGGCTCCAACCAAGATTCAGATTTTAGCCTGGGTTGGATTTTCTTTTTTGATAGTAAAGGAAAATTTTCCTTGAAATAATAAGAACATCCTAATAACCAATTCCCAATTAAATAAAACCTCCCAAACCCCCAACAGAGAGAACAAACAAACTACCCAAAAAAAAACAGAGACACCCCTCTTCTTACGTTACAACAAGAGCACATAATCACCCCAATAACCATTAAAACCGCATCAACAACATACCCTGGGTTCAAACAAGACACCCTATAAACGTTTTTTTTTTCACAATAAACTCCTAGTAAATTTGATAAAATTCAGCACCTTCTTATCTCAATAGCTCCCAAAACAGCTCCAGAAACAGATCTCCCTTCCCTATCTAATAATACCTTTCCCTCTACAACAAATCAATAAAAAACAAGAGATTGTCCTGGTGTTACATGCAGTACTGTGGGGAATTTGGGAGGAAAGAAGCAGGCATGTATTTGACAACAAAATAAGATCTCTTGAAGAACTAATCTGAGATATCTCCTTTCAATGTAATTTCTGGACTGCTAATTCCGAGCTGTTCCAAGGACTCTCTTTCAATGACCTCAACAGAAATACCCAAATGATCTTGTTTCTTCCATTCTACCCTCAACCAATCCAGAGACTACAGATACCTCATAATGAAGGAGGGATGACTTTAAACTTTGACGGAAGTACTGCAGGCAATCCTGGTGTAGCTGGGATAGGGGGTATTTTGAGGGATGATCTGGGTAATATCTGTTGGGTTTTCAGTGGCCCAATTGGTTATGCCAACTCAACAAAGGCTGAAGTTATGGCTGTCTTACTGGAATCAGAATAATAAAAAGATTGGGCATTCAGAACTTATCCATTGTAGGAGACTCTGCTAATACTATCAAATGGCTGAAGGACAAGGAGGGGGGCCCTTGGAGGTTGAGTCATTATCTGGCTGAGGCTAGAGACTCATTGGAAAATATAAACGCAAACTTGCTGTGTATACCGAGGGAGTTGAATCATATTGCAGATGGTTTATGTAATCTGAAGTGCTATACTCGAAGTAGCAAGGAAGAAAAGAGAATGACAGAAAAGAAGCAGAATACCGAGCTATGGCACACGGGGTTGCTGAACTCTTATGGCTCAGGACTCTCCTTAATGAGCTTGGTATCA